AAAAGCTTTTTTAAATACATTTTTTATTCTCAAAAAGACTTAATGTTTTCTATTTTTCTTACCAGCATACTTTTTAATATGAATGTGTTTAAAATCTAAATGCTAATAAATAAATAAATAAATAAAATCTAAATGGTGAAATACTGTAACATAAAATTACATTTAATGTAATAACTTCTGTAACAACTTTGACTATCCTGAGATCTGGATGGTTTGACAATGCAATACCAAGTGGTACTTTTACATTGTTCCTCCTGTACTCTGTTTTTTTAAATCATAGACATTGTTGAAAATCCAGTTTTACATGTTAGCCAAACTGCAACAGCTCTATTACTAATAGTTATACTAAGTTTAAATATTCTGGGAGAAATGAGATAAACCACTGAAATATAGCCTTCATGTCTCTAGGATCCTCTCTTTTCCCTTTAGACTAAAAGGAAATCGCAAAACTAACCATGGCTGAAGAAAGGGATTTGTGAAGAGCATTCCCAAACTATAAAATCTGGGGCTCTGGTTTTGCCTAACAGAATGTTAAAAGGACATTATCTGAAGACTAAATAACCTACGAAAACTTCCCAGATCAACATCAGACTGTCAGTAATTGGAAATGACTTTCCATTAGCAATTTTAAAAACAAGGTGAATGGATGGAACTAGAGGGAATTATGCTAAGTGAAATAAGTCAGTCAGAGAAAGACAATTATCATATGATCTCACTCATATGTGGAATTTAAGAAACAAGGTAGAGGATCATAGCGGAAGAGAGGGAAAAAACTCAAACAAAATGAAACCAGAGAGGGAGATAAACCATAAAAGATTCTTAATCTTAGGAAACAAACTGAGGGTTTCTGGAGGGGAAGGGGGTGGGGGGATGGGGTAACCAGGGGATGGACATTAGGGAGGGTATATGTTGTAATAAGCACTCGGTATTATATAAGACTGATGAATCACAGACCTGTACCCTTGAAACAAATAATACATTATGTTAATTAACTGAATTTAAGTTAAAAAATAAAAAATTAAAATTAAAAAAATAAAAATTTTTAAAAAAGAAAACAAGGTTAAAAGTGAAGTATCCACATTTAATTAGATTATTTCTAGCATAAGATTTCAGCATATACTATTATGAATTGTAAATTTTTCACGATTTTTTCCCAAATTTTTAGTTGTTGTTACATAGAAATAAAATTTGTTTGACTTTGTATCCTGAGATTTTCTAAATTTACCCATGAATTGCAATCATTTATCTGTAGCAACTTTTTGATTTTCTATATACACAACCATACTGTCTGTAAGTAGTACTTTTATTTCTTCCTTTTTTCCATTTTTAAAAATTAACATGCGGTGCCTGGGTGGCTCAGTTGGTTGGGCGTCTGCCTCAGCCGGGGTCATGATCCCGGGGTCCTGGGATAGAGTCCTGTGGGCTCCCTGCTCAGCGGGGAGTCTGCTTCTCCCACTGCCCCTGCCCCCTGCTCATGTTCTCTCTCTTGCTCACTCTCTCTGTCTCTCAAATAAATGAATAAAATCTTTTAAAAAATGAAGATATAATTCACAGACCATAAAATTCACACTTTTAAAGTATACCATTCATGGTTCTTTTTATTTTATTTTTTTAGATTTTTAAAAATTTATTTATTTGACAGAGAGAGCACAAGCAGGGGGAGTAGCAGGCAGAGGGAGAAGGAGAAGCAGGCTCCCCACTGAGCAAGAAGCCCATACACAAGAAGGGGGAGTGGGAGAGGGAGAAGCAGGCTCCCCACTGAGCAGGGAGCTCAATGTGGGGCTCCATCCAGGACCCTGGGATCATGACCTGAGCCAAAGGTAGACACTTAACTGACTGAGCCACCCAGGTGCTCCAACTTAGTGGCTTTTTAGAATATTCAGAAGGCTGTGCAACAACCACCAGTACCTAATTCCAGAAAAACTTCATTATCCCAAAAAGAAACCCTGTACCCATTAGCATTTACTCCCTATTCTCTACTCTGGCCAGCTCCTGTCACCCACTAACCAACTTTTTCAACCAAATAAATTCATTTATTACACAATCACTGTGTGGTTATTATGTGTTAGGCACTGTTTTAGGTATCAAGGATTCAATACTAAACCAAAGTTCCTCCTTTTGAGGAGAAAGAATAACAATTAAAAAATATTTTGGGCATGCCCGGCACTAAAGTGGTAAGGATTTTTTTTTTTTTTTAGGTACAAGTGACAAATATATTTCCTTTTATTGTTATTAAAGTTTTCTCAAATGTAGTTCAGTAAATGAAGTATTTTATTTTATTCCACTGTTGGTCATAGTTTGAGCCCTACACACTCCCTTCCCTTTCACCTCAAAGGGAGCTCCTTTGTATGTAGCTACACACTCATCATTAGTAAAGAGCTCAGGCTGGATCTGCTCCCAGATCTTCTTAGGATTCAGCTCCTTGTCAGGTTCTCCAGGAAAAGCATCAAAAACAATTCTGTCTCCAGGAACAGACCCATTAGGAGGTGCCAAGATTTCAACCTTCTCAGGTGAACTAGCATACATTACCATTGCTTGAGATACTACTCCCCTCATCTTTGCAGGTTTCAGGTTACAAAGTAAAATCACCATCCGATTTTGCATCTGTTCAAGAGGAACATGATTCACCAGGCCACTGACAACTATTCTTGGGGCTGTTTCTCCAACATCTACCTCTTCCACATATAAAGAATCTGCATCAGGGTGTTTTCTGGCCGTGATGATACAACCAACTCGAAGATCCAGATGAGAAACATCTACTGGCTTAGAGTCAGCGCTTCCTGCTACTGAATGCTGTTTTTTCTCCTTTTTCTCTCCTTTCACTTCAATTTTCTCTTTCATCTTCTTCCGCTCCTCCTCCTATCTGTTCTTTGGCACCAGAAGTTATAGTTGTTATTGGTCTAGACTGTATCACATTTTCAGAAACTGTGGAATTAGCTTGCAGCAGAGTACCAGATGGAAATGGTATTTGTTTCACTCCATTTTGAATTTCTGCCTGAATTAGCTCTTGTTTCAATTCTTCAATTTCTTTCTTTAATTTAGCATTTTCAACTCGAAGTTTCTTCTCTTCTCTCAAAGTTGCCTGCAAAATTGCTTTCTCCTTAAGAAGAGCAACTTGCTGCTTTAAATAGTCAATAATTTGATCTGCTTCTACACCCTTCTGTTCCAGTCTCTTCAGAACAGCACCATTAGTTGCCATTTTTGCCAAGAAACGGCAGAAAATCCGTCTGTCTGATTCTGGAGTTAGCTCTTTTAATGTCCAAGCTATAATTTATGAATCGGTGGACAGAGCAACCTGGGGAGCCTCACCCAGGCAGCCTCAGTCCGGCAGTAAGGATAGATTTTAATCAGTATTAACTCCTGCAATAGGGAAAGGAACCCACCATGTGCTGAACTCAATTTCTATTTGTATGAAGGTGCCTGGACCTTTCAAAGGGGGAATGAATGAATAAGGAGGAGGGTGGGCAGGGTCTCAGTAGAGTCAGGGAAGTGAAAAATTACAAAAATCAAGGGAGGTTGATCCATGGAAAACTCTGGGTTTGCTAACTGGTGCCTGTTAAAGTTAGGCTCCTACTATCCCACAGAGAATGAGAAATAGGGGCCTTATCTTCAGATGCTGACTAGAAGGAATAGTAAATTCCTTTGGCATGGTTGAATTTTCTCAGGCAGGCATTTTAACGGTAGCTAGAGGTCATCCTAGTTATGAGAACTTGATCTAGTAGAAACTATGTTAGAGTTTGTTCAAGTGTTTATAGACCAAGGTTAAGTCTAGATGAGAAGAGTGCTCAAGGAAGCCTGGCTAGAGTTTGGTCAAAAAGAGAATCTTTGTCAGTTGTTTCCAACATAATGTTTTGTCCTTTTCCTCTTAAGCAAAGTTGAGATAATTATTGTTATCACAATTGAAAGAATCCTAAATAATAAATTAATTATATACTTGGAATAATTTTCTAAAAGTAGAATAAATATATCAAAGTATATTTAAAAATATATATATATCTTGGGCGCCTGGGTGGCTCAGTCGGTTAAGCATATGCCTTCTGCTCAGGTCATGATCTCAGCGTCCTGGGATTGAGCCCCACATGGCCCCCTGCTCTGCAGGGAGCCTGCTTCTCCTTCTGCCTCTGCCTGCCATTCCACCTGCTTGTGCGTGCTCTCTCTCTCTGTCAAATAAATAAATAAAATCTTTAAAAGAAATAAATAAAATGAAAGATATCTTTACAATAAAAGAAATATATATTCAGATACATTATCCAGATACATAGAGTAGGATGCAAAAGATACATAGATTTTTTACAATAAAACTTGGGACTGAGAAGTTTTCCTCATTGTACCAGGTCATTTTGAGCTATGCCCCAGACCTCTCTAGTAATATGCTTTTAGTCTCCTGTGCTGCTGTAGCCAACATGGGTACTTCATAGGAAGAGGCTAAAGAAACTGCTAATGTGTTCATCTATAATGAAGGGATATATATATGTGTGTGTGTGTGTGTGTGTATTTTATATATATATATATATATATATATATATAAAATTATAGATTAAGTTAGTAAACCAAAGTCTTGGTTTCTAGCCTAAGCATAAATACTGCCCAAGGCAATTAATTATAAATTAGTATACAATGGCTTCATCCATCTATCAACAAATATTTATTGAACTTCTCCTTAGTTCACTATGAAAGACACAAAAATATGTAAGACATACAACACTGATCTTAAAAACTTACTCAAGTCACTACAGTATATAAGCAAGAATAATAATACATTGAGAGTTTCAAATAGACACAGAAAAGGTAAATCACTTCTGGAAAATAAGAAAATTCTTCCATTATGGAAATTTGTTCATTTTGTAAACAAAATGAGATCTTTTATAAAAATGTTTATGTCAGCCTAGAATTTACACTTTGATCATCTAAGTCTTTGATACCTACAAATATGTCCAGATATCAAAAAAAGAGCTGAATTAATTTATCCTGTGTAAATACAAGAAACTGTATTGACTTACTTTTCAGTGCCTCATTCAGTTGTGCCTTGTGGTTAGCTGCATGATACCAGACGATCTCAGCGCCATCTTCTGTTGTGATCAGGTTATTTCTCAGAAAATATTCTAGTATATTTTCACTCCAAGATCCTAAAACAACATTTATATCAAAACGAATGGATTGTTTTTTATAGTGTAAACATTTTTTAATAAGAATGGGCAGAACATACTTTGGGGAAGAACATAAAGTAATTTAACTGGGAATTATATAAGGTCTTAAAAATTGAGAACAAGTATTATGATGTGCAGTTATATATTATATATACAAGCATGCTATATATGATATAAGTAATAATTAGTAAGCATATAGGATAGTCTATCTGAAACTCAGAAGCATGAGGAAGTATGGAGGAAGAAAAAGAAATGGGAAGAAGCAGATACTTTAAAGCAAGAATTTTTACATGATATTGTCTCTAATCCTGGACTATAACTAAGTAAAATGTATGTGAAGTCATATTAAAAGCTATATTAAAACTTCTTAAATTTTGTGCAACTTAATTGTTTTATCCACCTGAGACCCCATTCCATATTTATGTTAATTTAGAATCTTGTAAGCATATTCACCTTCGGATTATGAATCTCAACAACATTTATATGAGTGACCAAACTCCTGAATTAGGAATTATAGATTTATCTAGCATGTACAAATACAGATAATTCCCGTATCTATCAACTACTTTTTGGCTCACCAGATTTTCTCTTAATTAAGCCTTAAAATATGTGAGTTAATCAAGACTAAAATACTTGAATCCAAGTCTACTCCACACTATGTCATATCCCAATATAACAATGAGAAAAATAGTTATCTACCTAATTCTTATTTATTCAAACATTTTAGTGCCTGCCAATTGGCTGCAAATTCCTTATGCATGAGATTATGTCTTCTATTAATTATTTATTAACTCTGCCCAATAACTGTTAAAAACCTACAAATGGCCAGCAGAAACTGCCAGTAAGACATTGAGAAAAAGTAGATTTTGATTAGAGAATGGAGGGACATATAAAGAGAACTTCTAACTAATATGCATGGAACTTAGCAACCACTCTGTATATCAGGCTACAGAATAAAGGTGAGAGTTAGCTGCAGCATCCACTATAGCCCAAAACACATGGCTCTCTTTAGCATATGCAACAGTCACAGACTATTCAGACTCAGATGAAAATACATAGTAATTTTTAAAATATTTGAGTTAGGCATTTTTAGAAGGCAAATTATAGGCTAAAACAGAAATGTCCTACAATGGGAAAATAATTAAAACATAGTACATCTTCATGATAAAATATGTGACTGATATGGCTGTTAAAAAAGTTTTTGAGATATACCAAAAGTCTCACAGAAATGGTAATCATGCATATTATTAGAAAAAACTAAAAGTTAATTGTGCATATTGGGTATGTCTGTGGCACCTTTCAACTAGACACACTGCATTCACAATTTTTATAAGGGCAACTTACAAATTAACAATTAAATACCATAATTCCAGCAATTAAAAACATTTGAAGTAAAAAGTTCTCCTTGCCCTATTAATGGGTGAAACTGACCTTACACTTACCCACACAGTGTATGTATTTAGAATTTAAGAAGGCTCCAATTACCTATGATCTAGTGTATTATTGCCATTTTAACTAGGCTATAACTGAAAATAGGACAAAGAGAAAGTCAAAATTAGTTGTAATTTTTTAATTAGGACTTTTTGGGAAGTAGTTTTAGGTTTATAGAAGATGTGCCCTCCTCTATTTTTTTACATCTTTTTGGGTGATGGAAATGTTTTAAAATTGATTGTGGTGATGTTTACACAACTCTGATACACTAAAAACCACTATATTATATATGCTTTAAATAAGTGAATTGTATGGTATGGAAATTATATCTCAATGAAGATTTTTTAAATTTTATTTTATTATGTTATATTAATCACCATACATCATTAGTTTTTGATGTAGTGTTCCACGATTCCTTGTTTGCGTATAACACCCAGTGCTCCATTCAATACGTGACCCCCCTTAATACCCATCACCAGGCCAAACCATCCCCCCACCCCTCTCCCCTCTCGAACCCCCAGTTTGTTTCTCATAGTCCACAGTCTCTCGTGGGTTGTTTCTCCCTCCAATTTCCCCCCTTCATTTTTCCCTTCCTACTATCTTCTCTCTTTTTTTTTTTTAACATTAATATATTATTTGTTTCAGAGGTACAGGTCTGTGATTCATCAGTCTTACACAATTCACAGCACTCACCATAGCACATACCCTCCCCAATGTCTATCACCCAGCCACCCTATCCCTCCCACCCCCCACCACTCCAGCAACCCTCAGTTTGTTTCCTGAGATTAAGAATTCCTCATATCAGTGAGATCATATGATACATGTGTTTCTCTGATTGACTTATTTCGCTTAGCATAATACCCTCTACTTCCATCCACATTGTTGCGAATGGCAAGATTTCAGGTTTTTTTTGATGGCTGCATAATATCCATATATATATATGCGCCACATCTTCTTTATCCATTCATCTGTTGATGGACATCTTGGCTCTTTCCATAGTTTGGCTATTGTGGACACTGCTGCCATAAACATTGGGGTGCATGTATCCCTTTGGATCACTACATTTGTATCTTTGGGGTAAATAACCAGTAGTGCAATTGCTGGGTCATAGCATAGCTCTATTTTCAACTTTTTGAGGAACCTCCATACTGTTTTCCAGAGTGGCTGCACCAGCTTGCATTCCCACCAATGGTGTAGGAGGTTTCCCCCTTCCCCGCATCCTCGCCAACACCTGTCATTTCCTGACTTGTTAATTTTAGCCATTCTGACTAGTGTGAGGTGGTATCTCATTGAGGTTTTGATTTGGATTTCCCTGATGCCTAGCGATGTTGAACACTTTTTCATGTGTCTGTTGGCCATTTGGATGTCTTTTTTGGAAAAGTGTCTGTTCATGTCTTCTGCCCACATCTTGACTGGGTTATTTGCTCTTTGGGTGTTGAGTTTGAGAAGTTCTTTATAGATTTTGGATACTAGCCCTTTATCTGATAGGTCATTTGCAAATATCTTCTCCCATTCTGTCAGTTGTCTTTTGGTTTTGTTGACTGTTTCCTTTGCTGTGCAGAAGCTTTTTATTTTGATGAAGTCCAATAGTTCATTTTTGCCCTTGCTTCCCTTGCTTTTGGAGATGTTTCTAGGAAGAAGTTGCTGTGGCTGAGGTTGAAGAGGTTGCTGCCCGTGTTCTCCTCTAGGATTTTGATGGATTCCTGTCTCATATTTAGGTCCTTCATCCATTTTAAGTCTATTTTTGTGTGTGATGTAAGGAAATGGTCCAGCTTCATTCTTCTGCATGTGGCTGTCCAATTTTCCCAACACCATTTGTTGAAGAGACTGTCTTTTTTCCATTGGACATTCTTTCCCGCTTTGTCGAAGATTAGTTGACCATAGAGTTGAGGGTCCATTTCTGGGCTCTCGATTCTGTTCCACTGATCTATGTGTCGTTTTTGTGCCAGTACCATACTGTCTCGATGATTACAGCTTTGTAATAGAGCTTGAAGTCCGGAATTGTGATGCCACCAGGTTTGCTTTTCTTTTTCAACATTCCTCCGGCTACTTGGGGTCTTTTCTGGTTCCATACAAATTTTAGGACTTTTTCTTCCATTCCTTTGAAAAAAGTTGATGGTATTTTGATAGGGATTGCATTGTGTATATAAAGATTTTTAAAAAAGAAAAAGTTAAAAAAACACATTTACCCTTTGACCCAGAAATTCCACTTTCATAAACTTATCCCATAGACAGATATGCTTATAGGTGGAAAATGACACATTTGATGAATGTGGTTATTTTCACTCTTGCTATTACAATCAATGTTATAGCAAATATCCTAAATATCCATCAAAAGTGGATTCATTAAATAAATTATGGTTTATCCATGCAAAGGGACATTATGCAGCCATTAAAAAGAATGAGGCAAATCCATATGTATTGATACAATCTCAAAGATATGTTAAGTGGGAAAAAAGCACAATGGAGAACAATTTGTACGAGTACTGTGGCAGGAAGAATAATGAACCCCACCCAAAGATGTCCACATCCTAATTCCTGTAAACTGTAAATATGTTATATTACATAGCAAGGGTAAGTAAGGTGACGAACAAAATTAAGGTTGCTACTCAGCTGACTTTGAGGTGGGGAGATGAGCTGTGATTATCCAGGTGGGCCCAGTGAATCACAAGATCCTTTTAAGTCAAAGAGAGAGGCAGGAGAGTCAGTGTCAGAGTGATACAATGTGAAAAAGACTGAACCAGCCATTGCTGCCTCTGAAATGGAGGAAGAGACCATGAGCCAAGGAACTCAAGCAGTCTCCAGAGGATGGTAAAGGCAAAAACACTGATTCTCTCCTAGAGCGTCCAGAAGGAATGCAGTCATGCTGCCACTTTGATTTTAGGTCAGTGAGACCATTTCAGACTTCTGACCTACAGAACTATAAGATAATAAATTTGTGCTGTTCTAGCAACTAAAAACTAATGCTCTAAAAAATTAGTTTGTATATTTAAAAAAGTAGGAGAAAACCATAAAAGAGATACATAGTATATGGTGGCATGTATACTATGTTCTTAAAAGTCAGGATTGTTAGTGTCAATCAAGGGAAAAGGCAGAACTGAAATAAAAGCATAAGTTGGGGGTGTGAAAATTGCAATCTGGGGAGTTTTTAAAAAAACTCAAAGCCAGGGGTTTTTTAAAGCCAAAAAAAAAATGCTTATATATATTGTTTACAAAAAATTTTAATTGGTGTTAATGGCAGAAAATTAATCTTAGCTAAACATAATTGGTTGCTAAGGCTATCACTAAGAAAAAGTCTGTTACTGCAGTAAGTTGCAGGTATTCGTGCAGAGTCCTTGAAATATTTGCAGTTTAGGCCAGTTCAAAAGTTCAGGGTTCTACCTGATGAGAATGTGCATAAGGCCCTCCTCCTTAATTGTCTTCTGGCTCCATTTTAAAACCCCTTGACATAAGTTATTACATTTTATTTTACCAGTCATATTAGAAAATATATCAAAAAGTTACTATTGGCATTGTGTGGACTTTTTTTCCTACTTCAATATATTTTACAAATGCTCTATAATGAGTATGTCTTATGTTTACAATCAGGAAAAAACTTAGGCTGAAAAAAGATTATGTCACCAAAGCTGTCTAATGTGACTACTTAGGTTTATGTAAAAGATACTGTAATCCTCTGGGGGACCCTGGATGGCTCAGTCAGTTAGGGCCCCTGGGTGGTTCAGTAAAACATATGCCTCTTGATTTCAGCTCAGGTCATGATCTCAGGGTCCTGGGATCAAGCCCCGCACCCAGCTCCTTGCTCAGCAGGGAGTCTGCTTAAGATTCTCTCCCTCTCCCTCTCCAGCCCCCTTGATCTCTCTCAAATAAATAAATAAATCTTTAAAAAAAAAAAAAAGAAAATGTAACCTTCTGGAGTAGAACGCCTGGTTTAAAACACCTCTAACTCTGGGGTCAAGGGACAGGGACACACTAATTACCAGCTTCTGAAAATTGTATAACAAAAAGCTGGAATAATTCTTGACCACATCCCTTTGTCTTCATTTCTCACTCTCACCCAATTCCAAGAGAAATCAGACTGACCAAAACTACTCCCCATTTGATCGAATGAAATTACAGATCAGGTAAATGTCACTTTCAGCCAGGACCTCAAGATGCGACAGTCTACCCCCTCACCACTCCTTTTCAACATCATACTAGAAGTTCTAGTTATGCACCAAGACAATAAAAGTAAATAAAAAGTATACAGATTGGGGAAGAAGATATAAAACAGTCTTTGTTCACGGATGACATGATTGTATATGCAAAGAATCTGAAAGAATCAACACAAAAACTCCCAGAATTAATAAGTGATTGTTGCAAGCTTGAAGGATACAAGGTTAATATATTAAAGTCAATTGTTTTTCTACTTACCAGCAAAAAACAAGTGGAATTTGAAATGAAAAACACTATACCATTTACATTAGCACCCAAAAAGCCAAAAATACTTAGGTATAAACCTAACAAAATATGTACAAGACCTATAAAAAGAAAACCACAAAACTCTGATAAATGAAATCAAAGAACTAAATGGAGATATTCCATGTTCATGGATAGAAAGACTCAATATTGTCAAGATGTCAGTTCTTCCAACTTGATGTACAGATTTGAGCAATCACAATCAAAAACCCGCTAAGTTATTTTATAGATATTGACAAACTGATTCAAAAGTTTATATGGAGGGCCTAAAAACCAGAATAACAAAGAGGTGACAGTACCCAACATCCAGACTTACTATAAAGCTACAGTAATTAAGTCAGGGCAGTATTGGTGAAAAAAGAGACACATAGATCAATGGAATAGAACAGAGAGCCCTGAAGTAAACACCCTGTAAATACAGAGTCAACTTATCTTTGACAAAGGAACAAAGGCAATACAATGGAGTAAAGATAATCTTTGTAACAATGATGCTGGAACAACTGGACATCCACATGGAAAACAATGAATCTAGAAACAGACCTTACATCCTTCACAGAAATTAAACATAAAACTGTAAAACTCCTATAAGATAATATAGGAGAAAACCTAGATGACCTTGGGTATGGTGATGACTTTTTAGATACAACACCAAAGGCGCCATCCATGAAAGACATAATAGGTAAGCTGGACCTCATTAAAATGAAAAAACTTTTGCTCTACAAAAGTCACTATCAAGAAAATGAAAAGACAAGCCACAGACTGGCAGAAAATATTTGCAAAAGGCACATCTGATATTGGACTGTTATCCAAAATATTAACACTTAAAACTCAAACAATAAGAAAATAATCAAATTTATTTCAAAAATGGGCCAGTGACTTTATCACCAAATATAAAGAAATGTCAAGCATTTGAAAAAGTGCTCCACATAATATGTCATCAGAGAAACACAGAAAAACACTGACAACACCGAATGCTGGTGAGAGTGGAGCAACAGGAACTTTCATTTACTGGTGGTGGGAACGCGAAATGGTACAGCCACTTTAAAAGTTAGGCAGTTTCTTACAAAACTAAACATACTCTTACCATACAATCCAACAATTGTGCTCCTTGATATTTACCCGAAGGAGCTGAAAACTTAAGTCCATACAAAAACCTGCACATAGATGTTTACATTGGCTTTATTCATAACTGCCAAAAATTAGAAGCAACCAAGATGTCTTTCAATGGGTGAATAGATAAATAGATAAATAAACGTTGGTACATCCAGACAACTGACCAGGAGTATTACTCAGTGCTAAAAAGAAATGAGCTCTCAAGTCATGGAAGAACCTTAAATGCATACAATTAAGTGAAAGAAGTCAATTTGAAAAGGCTACATACTGTATGATTCCAACTATATGACATTTTGGAAAAGACAAAACAATGATTAGTGGTTGTAGGAGGTGGATGTGAATAAGTGGAGCACAGAGGATTTGGGATCAGTGGAACTATTTTGTATGATACCATAATGAGGGATACAAGGCATTATACACTTGTCTAAACCAAAAGAACATACATAACCAACAGTGAACCCAAAAGTAAAATATGGATACTTTGATTATGATGTGTCAATGTAGATGACCAAGAATGGGAACTGTTGATAATGGGGAGGCTCTACATGTGTTCAGGTAAGTGGTATATGGAGAATCTTTGTGTCTTCCAGGTCAATTACCCTATGAACCCAAAACTACCCTAAAAAAAGAATTCCTTGTTAAAAAGGACCCAATATTCTTGCTATTCTTGGCCGCCTCACTGGCTTTTTTCTTAACACCCACGCGAGGAACCAGCATTCTAGGCCAGTCCATTGTGCGCGCTCTGAGAAGGCAGACCCCCATCAGCAACCGGGAGTGCTGCTGACAGGGGAGTCTCTCAAAGCGCTCCAACTATAGGCCGCAGGCCAGAGAAAGTGCAGGACTGCGAGCCAATCGTGTGCAGCCCTTCAGGGACCCACAGAGGCTGGATCCGCGCTTACCAGGGCCCCCAGCGGTCGCTGTCATGGCGACGGCCAACCGCAGACCGCGGAGACGCGGAGCCGTGGGCCACCGCGGCTGACCTTCACAGGTGGCGTGGAAACCCTGGAAACCCGACTCAACAAACGACACACTCTACACAAAGAAACCTCCTCCCACGGCCCATCGACCTCCGAGCTGAGGTTTCCGAGCGGAGGCGGAAAGAGAAGCGGTGCGCACGCGCAGAGGCTGAGGCTCGCGTTTCCCCAGCGCGCAGTCTCCTGGCTGGTGTTCGCTGTCCAAGTGTCGCGCGAATTGCTCTTTTGATAGATAGTCAGAAAACGGGTAGTTCCGAAGAACTCTACGTCAGGGAAGGCGGAGGATGAAGTCCCGAGGTTGAAAGAAGTCACTGGTGTGGGGTACGATTTTCCAAAGTTGGATGTATTTTCTTTTTGATTTTAGTAACATCGTAAAATGACATAGAATCATTTCTCCATAAAAATGAGTTTCTTCACAAGGATACAAAAGTGATAACTTGAAAGTTTTCTGCCTCCCTCTTCCTCTCTACCAGGGTTCATTCAGGAAACACTTGTACCACTGGACTCTCTCACCCATTGCCTTTTTTGCCTACAACTCCTTACTTTCCGCAGCCAAGCTGAAGCTAGAGGAAAAACCTCAGGGGAAATCAGAGCACTGACATTTTCTGGTCCTGTGACTCTAATACAGCTCAGTCAGTGGTAAAATTAGGATGACACATCACCTGACATAACGCAAGTGGCAGCCCTTCAGATTTTAATATATTTTAGGCTTTCCACACTTGGGTTGTAATTATTTCCATTTGTCTTCAGTCAGGCTTCCAGTATTCTCTGAATGTTCTCTAGCTGAATCAAAAAGATGTCTAGAGTTTCAGAAAACACTAAATTCTAATGATTTCAGCGGTGTTGTTTTTTTTTTAAGAAAAAAATCTTTGAGATATACAGTTGGTTGACTCCTATTTGATTTGTAGTTCCCTAATGATAAAAAATGTTATACATTTAAAGTGTCCAAGTCAGTGTATTCATAGAATTTGTAACCACACCACAACCAACTTAAGAACATTTTCATCACCCCAGAGCAGTTACTTTCCATTTTTTCCCCAACCCTATGCAACCACAAATCTACTTTTTGTTTCTATGGATTTGCCTTTGCTGGACACTTCACATAAATGAAATCATACAATGTTACAGTCTTTTGTCACTGGCTTCTTTCATTTAGCATATGTTGGCAAGGTCCCTCAGTATTGTAGCATGCATCACTACTTTATTCTTTATGGCCAAGTAAAATTCCATTGTTTGTATATACCACACTTTGTCCATTCATCAATTAATGGACATTTGCATTGTTTCTGCTTTCTGGCTACTAATAACTAATACTGCTTATAAGTATTCATGTATAGATTCTGTGTGGAAGTATGTGGAAGCTATTTCTCTTGAAGTAGAATTGCTGGTTCATTTGGTAACTTTATGTTTAACTTTTTGAGGAACTGCTAAAGTTTTTATTTATTTTATTTTACTTTATTTGAGAGAGAGACAGCATGAGTGGGAGGGACAGAGAGGGAGAGAGAGAATCTCAAGCTGACTCCATACTGAGTGTGGGGCCTGACACAGGGCTCGATTTCATGACCCTGAGATCATGACCTGAGCCAAAACCAAAAGTCAGATGCTTAACTGACTGCGCCAACCAGGCACCCCTGCCAAACAGTTTTTAAAGGCAGCTATTCCCATTTTACATTCTCTTCAGCAAGGTATAAGAGTTCCAATTTTTCTGTATCCTCAAGAATAATTGTTATTTTCTGTTGATTTTATAAAAATTGTAGCCATCCAAGTGCATAATGAAGTAGTATCTCATTCTAGTCTTGATTTGCATTTCTCTAGTGATTTATAATGTTGAGCATATTTTCAAGTGCTTATTTTTTTTAAATATTTTATTTATTTATTTATTTGACAGAGAGAGACACAGCGAGAGCGGGAACACAAGCAGGGGGAGTGGCGGGGGGGAGAAGCAGGCTTCCCGCCGAGCAGGGAGCCCGATGTGGGGCTCCATCCCAGGACCCTGGGATCATGACCTGAGCCGAAGGCAGATGCTTAACTACTGAGCCACCCAGGTGCCCCTTTTCAAGTGCTTATTGACTATTTTCTTTGGAGAAATGTTTATTCAAATCATTTGCTCATTTTTAAAAAATATTTACTTATTTATTTGAGAGAGAGAGAGAGGGAGCATGCAAGCTGGTGGAGGAGCAGAGGGAGAGAGAGAGAGAGAGAGAGAGAGAATCCCAAGCATATTCCATGCTGAGCGCAGAGCTCAATGCAAGGTTCAGTCTTATGACCCTGAGATCATGACCTGAGCTGAAACCAAGAGTTGGACACTTAACTGACTGAGCACCCACGCGCCCCTTTTTGCTCATTTTTAGTTGGGTCATTTGTATATACCACAATTCAATTTGTATATTAATTCAATTCCATTCAATGTAATTCAGAGTTTTAGAGAATTGAGAATTTAAATATTAATATACCTTGGTTCCCTTTAGCTGCTTAAAAAATTTTTTTTGTTGAATTGTAAAAATTCTTTATGAAGTCTGACTCCCAGTCCCTTAACATAGATGATTTGCAAATATTTTCTCCCATTCTGTAGGTTGTCTTTTCACTTTCTTGATGCTATCAGCTGCACTTCAAAAGTTTTTACGGCCTATTGGTTATGGTATTAGGTCAATTTTCATAGATTTTACGGTTATGAATTGATTCAATTAAAATTACTCTTCACTGTCCATTTGTTAGAGCTGTGCACTGAAGTATCTGGCATGAAATGATGATGGCTCAGATTTGGTTGAAGGTACTCCAGCAAAGAAATAAAGGGTAGATGAAGCAAAAGTAGAAAATCTTGAAAATTGTTGAATCTGAGGTTTGTTGTAGGATGGGTACATGGAGCTATATCATACTATTCTCTCTACTTTTGAGTAGGAGAAAATATATTTTTATACCAAATATGTATCTAATTACTTTTTTTGGCACAAAGGAAAGGTTTCATATGTTAAGGGTATATGGTGCCTTGAGGAAAGAAGAGCAGATATACAGAGCCTTATGAGATTAGAATGTGAAAATTGGGCATTGACTTGAGAGTTTGGAGATACTTTTGATGATATATATAAATAGGAATAAGGAATGTATTGTTAGTTCTCAGTAACCCAATCTGGGTAGAAGTGGTGACTTTATACATATTAGAGGAGTGGAATAAGGTGAAGCCATTTGTGGAAGGATGACCTTTGATTCAGTTTACATAACTCACTCTTGAGTAAGAGCGTAGCTGGCCTTAGAATTTAGTTATCTTCCAGTCAGCACTTATGTGTGTCTGTTTCTTTATTTGTGTGTGTGTATACATATATGTAAAAATTTTTTTTACATGTATGGTTGACCCTGAACAATGGAGAGACATGGAGGGTTAGGGGCACTGACCCCCTGCACAGTTGAAAATCTGTGTATAACTTTTGACTCCCCCAAACCTTAGCTACTGATAGCCTACTGTTGACCTGAAGCCTCACCAATAATATAAGCAGTCGATTAACACACATTTTGTATGTCATATGTATTGTATACTGTACTCTTACAATACAGTAACCTAGAGAGAAGAAAATTAAGAAAATCATAAAAAAATCATAAGAGAAAACATTTACAGTACTTTCTGAATCAAAAAAATCTGTGTAAAAGTAGACCTGCATAGTTCAAGCCTATGTTGTTCAAGGGTCAACTGTGTGTGTACGTAGGTATATAATATTTATAAATATTATGTTTGCTATATTAAATATATTTTTTAGTTTTCTGGTCTCTATTTTGTTATTTACAAGTTTATGCCAGCCCAATTGCTTATTCTTTTAAGTTTAAAGCAGTCTATTTTCACTCTCTGGCTCCCTCTAATTACTTTTTAGATAAGCCTACATTGATAGCTTCCACTTACTTGATATCCATTTCTCGGGCTTATTCTGCAGTTCAGGAGACCTTTTTTTTAAAACAAAAGATGCTTAATGTCATCTGCCAAATTTGGAGTCTTTGCAATATATGCTGTCTTCTACATAACTTAATGCTAAAAAATCTGAGGATCCCACTAATTACAAAATCTCTAAAATGTGATTAAGAAAAAAACTAATGTAATTCAATGTAATTCAGGGTTTTTGAGAATTGAGAATTTAAATATTATATACCTTGGTTCCCTTTAGCTGCTTAAAAAAATTTTTTTTGTAATTTAACAGATTTGCCAGGCATTTTTGCCACTTCACCCAGTTAGCTGTGTTTACTTACAGTGTTAAACAATTCATGAAAACACATATATTCATGGGATTAGAAATAAACCTTAGACATCATGTAGAATATGAGCATTGGTTATAGTGAGAAGGGCAATGGTCAGAAGGAGACTTGGATTCTAGTTTCAGCTATATGCCTCTAGCTATGTAAGTAGTCTCAGTGCCCTTTAACTAGGATTTCATTTTGTTAGTAAAAGTAGGGACATTTCATTAGATGACCTTAATGCTTTTTTTCTGGTTCTGAAATTATAAGCAGAGCCATCAAAAATGTGCATAAATTTAATACAGCTTACTTCAGTTTGGAGAGTCCTAATTGCTAGAAAGTTTCTCCTTAAATTCCAATAGTTAGTTCCTAGATGTGTGACTTTAGGAAAGTTATTCTCTTATTACTTCGTCTATGAAATGCAATAATAAACCACAAGGTAAATTTTCTTTTACTGAAGTCTGCTCTGTCTGATAATTACCAAAGCCACTCCAGGCTTTTTAAAAAAATTTTTTAGTGCTTGCATGGTATATTTTTTCCCCTTCTTTTTACTTTTTAGCCTATATATTCCATTATGTTTCAGATAGTTTCTTGAAGATAGTATACAATCAAGTTTTTTTTAGCTGATCTGTGTTTTAATTACCATATTAGACCCTTTAAGTTTAATATAATTTTTCATATTGATGGATTTAGGTCTACCATTTATCATTAATTGTCTCTGCTTTTCACTTCTGTTTTCCTTTCTGGTCTCCTTTTGATTTTTTTTTTTTTACAGAATTTCATTTTAATTTATATATTGGCTTTTAAAAATATCTCTCCATGCATATATGTTTTAATGATTACTCTAGAGATTTTTTTTAAAGATTTTATTTAGAGAGAGAGAATGAGAGAGAGCACGAGTGGGGGGATAGGCAGGGAGAGGGAGAAGCAGGCTCCCTGCTGTGGGGCTCAATCCCAGGACCCCAGAATCATGACCCGAGGGGAAGGCAGACACTTGACTGAGTCACCCAGGCGTCCCTCTAGAGATTATTGCATACCAAACTTTTTGCTCTCTCCCATTAGGATGTTGTTCTCACATGTATTAGATCTATATGTGTTGAACATCCATCAGTGTTATAAATTTTTTATTTCAGTAGTTATACATATCTTAACAAACTTAAAAGGTGAAAAAATAGTCTGTTTATCCAAATATTACCATTTCTGTTGCTCTTTCTTCTTTCTTGGCATTCCAGTGTTCCCTTTGATATCATTTTACTTCTCTATGAACTTTCTTTAGCATTTCTTTTACAGCAGTTCTACTGGCAGTGAATTATCTTAGTTTTCCTTTTTCTGAAAATGTCTTTATTTCACTTTAATTCCTAAAGGATGTATTTGCTGGTTAAAGTTCTGGGTTGATAATTTTAAGTATTTTTTTAAAGCACTTTAGAAGTGATGTTCCACTGTCCCTGGTTTCTGGTGAGAAATACAACATAATTCAAATCTTTGTTCTCCAAAAAGTAGACGATGTCATTTTCCTCTGTTTTCAAGATCTTTTCTTTATGTTTGGTTTCATCTGTGTGGTTACGATATGCCGGGATATGGTTTTTGTTTTTAACTTTTTAGCAGTTTGCTGTGCCAGTATAACTGCTGTAAATATATTTT